CTCTCTCTCTCTCTCTCTCTCTCTGTACATAGTCGTCATTGTTGTTAACCATGATAGAACGTGAGCAGAGCAGGTCTGTATTCGAGCGGGACTTCAAGTCCTTTTATATGGACCTCAATAAAATTTATTTCAATTTCAATTTCTCTCTCTCGCTCTCTCGCTCGCTCGCTCGCTCGCTTGTCGCGGCCAGGCGTCACTTCCGCCGCTGTCTGCGGGGGCATCCTCACCCCCCCGGCTCTCGACCACCGCAGGGCGCCGATTTGTCACTTTCGGGTGGAGGCACCGCCGCGCGGTACCGCCGGCTCGCGCCAGCACCCGCCGCCACCGCCTCGGCTAAGGAGCGGCTTCACGAGGCGACAGCAAGCGAACCGCAAGCTGTCTGACCCGCGCCGGACTGGACCGGCCTTATCGCGTTTCTTAAAGTGCACGTTTATTTTTTTGAATTTGTTGTTTATTCTAATGGACGTTAAAAGTCGTATTTAGCTCCCCGTTCCCTGTTCGTAGATATTCAATTATGTGTACCCCGGGACGTTTAATGTCGTGTTTGCTTTGATAATTCTACTCGCGGATGGGGGCTGCTGAGTTTTGTTGAAATTTCATTTTAACTCCCATTTCAATTTGAGCCACGCGCCGGTAACCCGGGTGATAGGAAAGCAAACGAGCGATTTTGTTTTTTTTTTACTTTTTTTCATGACCTGGTGACCTGGCTGTCAGCCGCACAGTCGCTGCGCAGCCCAGAGAGACCAGCACTCGCCTCTGTCGTGCGGTGCGGCGAAAATAAAAATGTGAGGTAGTTGAGGGTGCAGGTGAGGGGCCCGGGAGAGACGCTGATGAGCAAAATGAAGAGAGGAGGGTGGCGAGCCGCTCGAGTGGAAGTGTGGAAACTCAAACAGGCAGTCGGGTAGGCCCGGGTCGGAGGCGCGGGTCGGGGCAGAAAAGGGACAGAGTAGCAAGAGGGAGGGAGCGAGAGAGAGAGAGAGATGGTCTGATTTTGTAAAGGAGGGGTAGGAT